AAAGAATTAAGAATATGACACTATAAAAAAGAATACAATTAAAATATGCATCCATTGGCCTTTTCTTTATAGCATTTGCACGAAGGCGGAAAGGGAGGGGAAAAGTAAAAAAGAAGAAAAAAAGTAGACGTGAGAATCAAAACAACAAAAAAAAAAAGGGAAGAAAAAAAAAGAAAAAAAAATACAAGAAACAAGTAAAAACAACTGCTATCACTCAATTTTTACAGTTTATGGTACAAAAAAGGTGTAAACAACAAAGGACAAAAAATGAAGAAGAAAAAAAAAAGTAGAAAAAGAAAAAGAAAAGAAACATCAAACACACACATGGCATTTTTCTTTTCCCTTTTCACGAAATCACACATTACATTTGTCATTTGCCTTTTTTGAGGGAGGGGAAATCGAGATAGTGGGAAGGGTGAAAAAAAAAGAAAAAAGAATAAACATTGAAAAGCTTAAGAAAAAAAGCATGATAATAAAAAAAACTCCTCATTACTAAAATTGCAAGAGAAATTCTTTCCAGCTTTTCCAGCTTACGCGTTATGCAGAAATAACATCATAACTTCTGCGGTCATTACAAAGGCTTTTTTTTCGGTTCACACACAGTCATTGCGATAAATGGGGGGTAGACGAACAATATTCACGACAAAAATATAGTCATTAAAAAAAATAAAGACAAGCAAAGGGACAGGAAAAAGAAGAAAAGAGTAGAGAGATTATTATGAATTTACACTTGTGGAACGAGAGAAAGCTATTACTAATCAAAAACCCTATGAAAAAAAAAAAGTGAGGAATTGAAGAAAAACAAAACATGTGGGAAAGTATATAGGATTGGGAAGAGAGCCAAAATAAAAATATATCAAGAGACTATATATACTCAAAGTAAGGTCCAGCTTCTTAAAATTGAGTAATGTTTTGCGACAAAACATTGGCGCTATCCAAACGTCCAGTGTCTTGAATAACACTTTTTCTCTCCCAAATAATCAAACATGGTATATATAAATATATACATGTAATCCATATACCAACCGATCCTTGCGCACCACCATCCAAAAATAATAATTGCCTCCAATAAACAAAACAAAACCACGACCACGACCATGACCACTACCACGACCACGACCATGACCATGACCATGACCACCACCACAACCACGACCATGACCATTATGTACAATCAGCTCTTTTTAGAAAAAAAAAAAAAACTTAATGTGCCAACCATTTCTCCTCTCAAGCTCGCTCCTTTGTTTTTTTTCTCACATCGACGGATAACCAGAATAGTGTGCATTATACATGTTTATTGGTACTATAGTAGGGCCCTGGTAATACGTTATACCTTCCGGAGGTGATGAGACCGGCGATGCAGGCGACGGCGCACCAACATGCAAGTCTTCATGCCCGGGTGACGCATGCCCACTTATACTATCTCGCTTCCCCTGAGCACCCAACAAGTGTTCGTTGCGAGGGGACGTATCCACAAATCCTGTGGGCGACAAGGCTATCGTAGGTGTTGGCGAAGGCTGTTGTTGGTGTACAGACTGAGACGATAGCTGCGGTGAGGAGTTGGACGGTACTGGCGATCGATGTGGCTGTGATTGTATATGGTTGGATCGGAGAGACGGTGATGTTGAAGAATGTGTGGTCTGGCTGGTTGATGCGGCCGTCGCGGGAGATTGTTGGGATGGTGAATAGAGAACAGGAGAATGGCCGGATTGAGGTGGAAACATTGCGTAGGTTTCCGAAAGCATTACCGTTGTCGTGGTTGGTGGCCAGGAATCACTATAACCCAAGCTTGCGTGAGCGCCGGCGGTGGTTTGTTGCGGTGATAATTGTTGATATTCGCCAATCATCTGGTTGTATGCGTGCGATTCCATTGTCATTGGCGGACCCACGTTTGTGTTTTCCATTCCAGTGTTTCCTAGCGACGGTGAATTGCTGGACATTAGATTGGGATCATTGTGGTTTTGATTCGGCAGGTCATCGTTCTTGTAGCTTTCTGGCAGGGATGTGTAAATAGAGTAAGGAAGGGCCTGCGGGGATAAAGCCGCAGTCGAGAGGTTTGTTTGCAGAGGTGACTCGGACTTGATTGCCGGAGTGGTAGCCATTGTGGTATCCAGGCGCAGGCGTTTACCCCGCGTATCGTGAAGAGCTGGTGACGGTACTGGATGAGCATGTTTCAAATTACGCAATGCCTCGTGCAGTATTGTGGTACCTTGTGGATAAAACGAAACGAATGAGTGAGCGAATGAAACGAATGAATGAACGAAAAAACAAACCAACCAACGAAAAAACAAACCAACCAACAAACAAACAAACCAACCAACCAACAAACAAACCAACCAACGAACCAACCAACAAACCGACAAACAAACAAACAATCAATCAACCCGTGACAAAACATTCAAATATCCTACCTTCGGGAAAGTTCCCAGTCACCAACTGCGTCAAGGCCACCAAATGCTGCTGATGCCTATGTAAACCATCGGCGAGACTCTTCACCTCTGGTAATAACTTTTCCGAAACAATGCTGTTCATCTGTTTCAAGTCTTTCCTCAGGTTTTCCGTAACCTCCTGCAAGTCCTTTATCCTCTCCCTCATTTGTCCTTCTTCTCCTGCTCGCTCTTTATCTTTTCCATTCTCACTATTAAAGGAACTCGTCATACTACTCTCTTTGCTTGCGCTGCTTTTGGGTCCGGTTGTAACTCCGAATGACGTATCTGCGTCGTTGGTGCGCGGTGGGCGCCGGCGTGTAGGTTTTGAGACTCGACGACGGATGTGAGGAAGCAGGTCCTGTCGACCACGACGAAACTGGGGATGCGAAAAGACGCAAGCGTGCTTTGAGCGTACATGTTTTGATTTTCGGGCGTCGGATACGCGATAGAAACCATAGATCTAGGTAAAACGAGTTGAGAATAAAATAAATAAATATAATATATAATATACAATATACATACAAGGCATGGTTCATGCATGCGGATCAATGCTTACATTCAATTGCCTCACAAAAGAAGTAAATTTACAGTGCTTGAAAAACTTTGGTAACACGTTTGCTGCAAATTCATCCATGTTGCATATCACAAATACGTCTCCGCTGTCATTCCAAGTGAGATACTCTTTATACTCATCGCCGTCAAGAAGTCTTTTGGAAAGAATACGATGAACGGTTAGATTAGATATGGAGGTGGGTAAAGCAAACAGCGACAGGGTAAGCGACAGGGTAAATGACGGTGACAGGGTAAACGACGGTGACAGTCAACGTCAACAGCAACGTCAACAGTGACAGGCAACGTCAACGGCAACGTCAATAGCTGATCTTTTCACAACAGATCAATACTTACTGATATAACTTGGCAACAAATACAGACACGGTATCCAAATCATATTTCCCACTCTCTTCTGGATATGTGTGCTGGTCACCTTCTGAACAGTTTGGGATGTGACTTCCATCAAACACTCCATAAGGTAGAATCTCAGCTGATTGAGAAGGTATTATCCCTGTTGCAAGCTGGTTTCGTGTCAGGTCTGTCATATTTGCGATCGATACGAATGGGTCGGAAAAAATGGTGGAGAGCAAAAAAAAAAAAGTTCGGAAGAAAAGGTGGAAATGTCTGCTGAGAGTTGAGATGTGTGTTTTTGTTTTTTTTATTCTCGAGAAGGTTTAATATAACAGTTTTTAAATACAAGAAGAGTGCTGTACCGCTTTTCTTTTGGTACGAATGGGAGGAGAGTGTTTTAAAAAAATTCAATAGCGCGCGCAAGTGCTCGTCTGATTGAGTAAAGATGAGTATAGTGGTGTCTGTGTGTTAATAATGTTAATTATTTGAATATCCTCGTTTGTTTGTTGCTCGTAGTTGCGCAAGTCGATAAGGGATTGGAATGTTGAGAGGCGGAGGAATGCTGGTCCCTCTTTCTTTTTCTCTTGTGGAAAAAATGTGCAAGATTGGTTTCTTTTTCACGCTCTCGAGAAGTTGTTTGCTTTGGGTGTTTTTGTGGGGGTTTTTTTTTCGTCTCAAAAGGTTGCGTTCTTCAGAATGCCTTTCTTTTGCAATTTCGATAATAATAATAATAATCGAATGATATATGTCGGGTTGTCGTTTTTCGAGATAAGTTTATCTCTATTTGTTTCTTTCGTTAGATATGGAGAATATTCAATGTTAACACACAGACCACCACAGTCTCTGGCAAGCTTGTTATCGCGGCGCGCGCAGCAGACACAAGAGGGTCGTTATTGAATGAAAGTGAGAAGAGATACAAGCATGAAAGTTGTTATTATAGTTTTAGTATCTCCCCATTTATCGTTAAATATCGCGTTGGGTGTGTGTGAGCGAAGAAAAGGTTTCGGGTGTGTGTGAGCGTGTGTGAATGAAAAGGGTTGAGTTGCGGGGCCAGCGCAAAGATATATGCAGTCTGTTTTTGGGGTGGGGTGTGTCTGTGTTTGTGTTGTGTTGTGTTGTGTTGTGTTGTGTTGTGTTGTGTTGTGTGTGTGTGTGTATGGTGAGTTGTGTTGGGTTTGTGGAGGGTTTGTGGGTTGTGATTGATTGTGATTGATTGTGGTGAGGTTGCTGGGCTAGTGCTTAGAGGAGGGGGGGGGTGTGTGCCTTGCTTGTATCGGAATTTTTGGTTGAATTTGAGGGGGGGTTGAATAAAAATTGATCGTTTCTGCATGATTTTTGGCAAGACTACTATAATATTGGTAATTGGTAATTTAATTGGTCTATGGAAATATATGTTTTAGTTTAGTTTGCTTGCAAGTGTGTATATATTATTTTGCTCTCTGGTGATCATGGCGGTACAATGTGAGCATTAGAAGGAGGTGTTGTTCAACAAGAGTGAGTATGGTAAGATTAATTTGGATATGGAAAATGGTGACAGGTCACAAAAGTGGCGATGAGTTGGAAAGCGGACGAAAAATGTAAGTTATGATATCATATATTTACTATTATTAGTTATATTAATGATACCACACACATAGCATGATTACTTATTTTCATTGTGACTATTTTATTGTGCAAAAAATTCAAGGGTGATTGATTGATTGATTGATTTTTCATTTACGGTTATACATTTATACATACATATCATATATACAGTACATATACATATACATATACATATACATATACATATACACACATACA